TTTTTTTTGACCCGCCACCAAAGTAGGGCAAGAAGGCCAGAATGTTGGTATGTTCCTTTACTGATGTAAACGAGGAACACTTTCTGGAATGGGCGGCAAACCTCTCTAAAGATCCGGTTTCTAAGTATGACACTTCTGACTCCAGTTTATTCTCTCGATAAAAGCATATACCTGGAGATGCCAACGTCAGCCAACTCTGATACAAATTGGCTCATATTGTGCACTCGTACGTTCCCTTATTCTGGATATGTAAACATTTAAAAAACCAAGTTGAGGTCGCATACTTCAAATATTGAGTCGTATTTTCTGTGCAAACAGGTTGGCACAGGTATCGAATTGAAATGCTATGAAACAAAATATGAACCCAGCAAACAAGGCTACGTTGGACCAACGTTGTATCATCGTCCCCAATTCAATGTTGATTCAACTTTACGTGTTTCAAATTGTTTTCTGGGAAGTGCTTGAATTAATTTTCTTAAAACGACTTCCATGCTAAATGGCAGTTCAGAATAAACCTTAAAAGAAAAGAATAGACCTTAAAAGGTCCTGGTTCTCCTCATTTTTAAGCATGCCAATAATATCGTAGATGGAAGTTGGTGTATGCGCAGGGATATCCTGACGTCTCGCCGCCCGAAAAGTGTCGTGCCCGTTACTAAAAAAAGGTTGAGTACCACTGATCCACCTTACGCAGACGGAGCCGTACCTTCTGAAATCGCTTCGCAATCGTAATAGCGTCTCTTTATATAAAGTTTATTCGGCTTCTCACCATAAACATATTTACGATCCATGCCGTAGTTTTCATGCTGTTACAAGAACTGTATGAGGTAGGGCTTGGAAGCGGTACCCTTTAACCCCTTGACCACAGGATTGACTAAGCCAGCCCAGCATCCCAACGGTATTATTCCAGCCTCAGTCAGGCACTAAGTCCCACGACGTAAATATACCGTAGGAAGGTATGGAGAAACAGGTATGAAGAACGAAAAACAGGTAGAGCTATGATGAAAATCATCGCTCTACAACTTTGAAAATCGAGATAATAAATCGCGTATATACGTCATCCGTAGGAAAGGGGCTAAAGCGCACTCAGGTGACATCCATGCCTTTGCTTCCACATTCGCGATCTTGTTAGGATGTTGTCTACGACTTTAATTTCAAGGTCAAGGCTTTGGACCTAGGCAAAGGAGTTTCTGCTTCAATTCTTGGAAGTCTTACCTGGATCTTCCTCCCAAATGCTTTTGAAAGAACTCGTTGCCGCCGATTGACTCGGATCAGTTTCTGATGCAAGGAGACCCTGCAAGGGAACAGCTGCAGTTGTTCGTGCATACTTCGTCGGCAGGACATGCTGGATATTCCAGTGCGACTGGCAAGTTGCCGAGCTAAAGGTTTTAAAGCAGGTGAAACAACGTCACCGATTTATTCAGTGCTTAAGACTGTCACAAAGAATTCGAGTCTTCCAAAGTTTCCTGAATACAAGTTCATAGCCTTTGCTGAAGGTGTTAGAAAAAAACGCTAGTTTGAAAAGGCCTGATCACCTGGCGGTTCTTTGCCGATCGCGTCACGGAAGCACTGCTGCATATCTTCCACGCCAAAGTGACCAAGCTTTTCACCATTTACCCTGAAAGCCCATACAATCGCAAAAACTCTTTTCGTTCCTCATTTGTCACCTGACATGTTGTTCACAATAATACTCCGTACGTCAAAATTACCTCACCTAATGGAGGCGTATTGCGTGCACACTGCATTGGCCATTTTTCCACGTTTGGTCTCGTACTTGCTTTACCCCTTGACCTGTGTTCACAAAACTTTTTGGATATGTATATACTCCTGCTGGAAAGTTTCTGGTGCGGTTTCAAGGGCATAAACAGGTTGGAAAAACCAATACTTACCTCGAAATCTGAGTGATTTTGACCTTTTCCAGCTAATATTTACATTTAACCTCGAATGGTCGCAATCAGGGGTCATATGTCAGGCTTAAAATGAACTTCCATATTATTCAGTGAAAAAGTAATTGAGAACGGTTAATAACTGCTCTGTCTAGGATGGGATCCAAAATACCTATCATTTTGACCTTTTTGATCTCATGATCTCAAATCTCACGAAAAGGAGTTGAGTTCGACTTAGCATCCACCCAGGAGTTATACAGTTTTACACTCGACTCAGACACTTGTGCATGAGGAACATCCCAGTGGCACAAACAAGGGAACCCTCTCCCTCAAGGGTGAGGGAGAAAGACATCATGAGCAAACGACCTGAGAGCGAAGCTGGAAAGGAACAAAGGCAGGAGGTGAAAGGTGAAGGTCACGCCAGTCACATGTAGCTACTCGCTTTAGTAAAGTGAACCTGTCAAGGAAGCGTCCTGCACATGTGACACTATTGAATTTTTTATTATTATAAAAACGGAAGAAGGCCGATTCAGATAAAAGGCGTGAATCACGTCCAGGTTAACGAATTTCCAGTAGATTATCTGCGCAGTGAAATTTGGGCTGAATCCTGAAATTAATTTAGTTCTTTTAAAGTTTTTTTTTCAGGTATCGAATGTGCTTATATCATTTAGAGTTTAAATTCCATTTCCACAATTTCATAGTATTTTTCTTCGTTTCATTATCTTTGTTCGCGTGTTCGACGCTGTTTCACGTTTTTGTTGAGTATATCTCAACAGTAAATCTTATCTGATGATTTGATAACGTTGCATTCGGAGAAATTTGAAAGACAGGTCATGAGAACTTCGAACCTTCCCCCGCCCAAACTTTAGGGCTGGTTGCGCCACTGGAACATCCCATGCACAGGTGTCAGAGTCAAGTGAAAAATTGCCTGACTCAGGTAAAAAACACTGTAGCCCAACAACCACGTGTTCGTTCCAGCATGGATGCCCGCTTGTGACACTCCATGCCACCGTCAGTCAAAATTCCAGTCCTTGGTCCTTGGCTGATCGTTTACACTATAACTATACAGCACTTGCCAAGTGCTGATCAGCGTCTGAGTCAGTGTTCATTCCGCATGCGTTAGCTTCGATAATCACTTGTGAGATATGACTTTATCCATCCATCAGCGTTACGAGATTATCTTTCTCTCTAGCCATCTGTTGGATACAAAGCTCGAATCGAAGGCTGTGGCGAAAGCGGTCAAGTGTGACTAGTGGACCGTGAAGAATAGACTCGATTGATGGAAAGAATCCAAAGATCTGACTGATTTGATTCGTTCTGGCTGACCGCGTGCAACGACGCCAAAATAGGGTGAACGGATTCTTTCGCTCGCCGATCGAGAAATGTTCGCAACGAGCCGCGACATCGAGAACCGCTCGAAGAGGAATAGGGTCGAGATTAGCCTGAGTACCATTCGATTGAACAAAGCATGGGCGAAATTTAGTCCTCCAATGTCCAAACCTCTGCTCACTGAAGACCATCAAAACGATCGTTAGAAACGGAATGAAGCCCACCTGTCTACCGATTGCGACCAGGTGATCTCAGATGAGACAACGGTACGTCTGAATCTGGTGAAAGCGCGCGTCTGGAATAGCTGAGAAGAAAGTAAGTCACCCGAAGCGTAAAGCACCGAAGTCAACGTGTGGGGTTGCTTTTCGAGCAGAGGTCGCATCGTTTGCCTCAGAGAACCGCGACGCCGCACTGCCACGCAACATCTACAAGCGCGGCCTCTAACCGACAGCCAGAGACCGATTTTGTTTTGAATCGACATCGTAGAAACTGCAGGAAGACAATGACCCAAAGCACAAGTCGAAGCTAGCAACGAAGTGGAGAGAACAGAGAATGGGGTCGGAAAATTCGTTCGGCTAGCTACGTCGTCCGGCTCGACCCAATCGAAAATGCGTGGAAACTGCCCAAGATGCGGTCACAAAGGAAAAAACTCCGAACTTATTGGTCCCTGGTGTTGGCAAGCAGACAGTAGTGAAGGACTTGTACAGAGTATGAAAATTCGTGTTTCTGGAGTCATTGAAAGTCAGGGTAATTTTATATTGCATTAGTGATCAGTGTGTCCTGTGTACATAAATACAATAAAATAATAATAATTTCATCAGTTAGTCTGATAAAGCTGGGGGAGGGGGACGACGACTTTCGAAGAGTATTGCATTTTTTCAGAATGTGTTCCTGGTTGGATGGTTCAAAACCTTCTTGCCTTACCCAAAGTGATCCAGAGTTTAAGTGAAAGCAGAATAATGATTAATTTCCAAGTTAATTTGAAAGTATTTTAAACACTATGCCATAAACTCATTTAAAAATTAAGTTTCACTGATACATGGAACAGCCATGCTAGAACAAAAGGGAATCTGCTGCTTAAGTAAGTCTGGTCTCTAAACCAAGTTAATAGGGTCCACTCTGGTTAGAACCAGGTCATCACAGCCTCCAGCCTGAGCAGATACACTCCAGTTTACAATTGAAATGTGAATGCTCACATCTAGGTTTGTTGGATAACAGCTATCCCACATTATTGACATTTAAAAAAGGGAGAAGAGGGCAAACAGAAGGGGGATGTCAATAACTTTAAGTGGGTTGCAGACAAATGCAGACATCACTGCAGAGAGGAAAGGGGGTAAGAGGGTTCTGAGACAAATGCTTCCATTTTTTTTTTAGACTCCCCTAGCCAGTGGGAGTGTTACACCACAGTTATGATTCCCTTGGCTCTCCTGCTTGGCCATCAATTGGCAGCTGTGACTTGAAGGCAGTTGGACGTTTTGTTTCCTTTGCCTATCTCTTCCAATCCCAGGTCTGAGCACCTACTCACATACCTTGGTCAAATCACAAAAAAAACCTTGAGGGTCCAGGTTATTGGAATCAATGAGATCTCAGATTCAAGTACTTAAGTTCAACTCCAGTCAGATACCAATGATTAGACCTGATAAAACTTCTAATCATGACCCAAAGCCTGATCAGAGTAAATAACTGTTGGCTTGAGTCTTTCGTCCAGCTGTGCATCAAGGGTGCTCTCACCCGAGTCAGCATGTAGTTGAGAATAATGATAGAAACAATGAAACACAACAAGAGAAGTAGCCTCTGAAAGATAGCCAGATATAACTTTCATTTGAAACGTAGCTGCAAACCCTGCTGAAGGCATTTTTTTTTTAAGACACAGCCAAAGAGAAATAGAGTAAGAGCAAAAGCTAGCATTCAGAACAGCACAAGGACAGGAGTGGCCAAAACTCTGTGACAATAGAACATCTCTCAATCACAGACTTGAATACATGACTTCCTTCATTGCTGGACTTGAACTGGAACTCCCATGTTGATTTATGATTTTATTTTCATTCTTCCTTTCTGTCTTTCCACTCTCAGGCACATTTGGTGGATTGAGCAGTGACACCAGACGCAACATCATCCCACTCACTGGACATGGAACAAAGTTTTCAGATTGTCTAGGTCATGGCTGATGAAAATGAGAGGCACACAGCTGCATCACAAGTGCAATGGATGGGAGAAGTAAGAAAGCAAGAAACCTTGCATTATATATGTTTCAATTCAGGGCTGGAAGAAGGAGAAGCAAGAGGGTGAGGAGGTTCATGACAGCTGTGGTGCTCTCACTTCCACCTGTCACCTGCCGCTGCCCAGGTGGATCTGTGATACGATGTGAACCACGATCCACTTCTCCATCCCATGGTGATGTTCCATCTGAAAGACTCTGCTCCCATGATGTCATAATCCCATTGCATTCATCCTGACTCTTCACATGCTTCATGCAATGCTCCTGGAGACAAAGAGGAATGAGAATGGTAGAAATGTCTTTCCATAAGACATAGGCACATCTGATTTTTTGTGATTTTCAATCCAGAAAGAAGCAGATAGGAACCAATTACAACATAGCAGGAAAAAAAGAAACACATTCATCATCTCTCCTGTAAATTATTACATTTTTCCTTGAATTTTCACAGAACTTTTGAGTGCAAGAAAAAACTGAAAATGCAAAGACTTCAGACACTATGCATGATGACCATATAAGATGACCATACAAGCCTTTTTTAGTTGCCATCAACAACATGAAAGATGCAACACATGAGATGGTAATCGACCCTCACTTTTGTTTTCAGGTCCTTTTTTTGTTGAAATCTAAGGGTGGAAAGAACAATAAGACATCACTGGAAAATGATAAGACTTCCCATTCAACCTCTCCTAGAAACTCATCCCAAACTGTCTCATCTCAATGCTGTGTGTCTAGCAAGTTAAGCCATTCCAGAATACCATTATCATGGTTCCCCCTTGGGGCATAATTAACCATAAGGTTACTAAAGAAGCTCCATAAAGAGAAAGAAATTGACATATTATCCACTGTGCAGCCATGTTAGTAATGGCACTATGAGACAATGGGTGTATGCAGTAAATGTTTGTTGATTTTCATACTAATCCTTGGATTTGATTAACTTTCAACATTATATGAAATCGCAAAAGTAAAAATAGCACTCAAATCTTGCCACCATCACATCTCATGAATCAAAACACAAATTCATGTGGGGGACTGACTTTCAAGACAAACCAAAAACAAACTTAAATATCACAAGCCCCCTTAGCAAATCCTCTCCACAAATCTTCATATTTCACTGACTGGCATTCACCCATGTGGGTTAAACTAGGATTAAAATGAAGTGCACAAATAACCTTTCTGGTCTTTGAGGCATACTGCTTGAAAAAGATAAAAAATTAAAATTCCAACTAACCTGAATGATGGGTGCAGCCAAGCGATCCAAAAGCCTCTCAGTAAAACCTGCAGTTTCCTGACCACATTTCTCATACACCAGACGATTCGAGCATTCAATGTAGTTTGCAAAGGTGCTGCAAAAAAAAGGGGAAAAGGTATGTCATAGTCATAGACAGGTTTGAGTTCCATTCTGTGAAGGAGATCAGCCAGTCATCAAGAAGGTATTTACTCTTTCCACCTATTCCCTTCTGAGTGTGTATTTCACATGCTTCTTGTAACTCTTGGTCATTGTTCAATCAGCACTTGCACTTAATTCTCAACTGAATAGGAAGCTGGGAAATACCCAATTCAGAGATTGCTCCATATTGATTTAATTCCAAGTACAGTCAACCTTGCATAATGGAATATTCTTTTTAATGGAATACCATTACAGTCCCAATTTACAGTATGAAACAGCAGATATTTTCAGTTATTTGAATATTCCATATGAAAGAATAAAGTTCATTAGTCCAATGAGTATTCCAATATATGGAGTCAACAGTATCAATTAAAAATGAATGACACTTTATACCCCCCTTTTTCTGCAGATATCTTGTGTAGTCAAAGAAATACAAATGGGTAATTTAAAGAATGGAACATTAAAAAAAAATCTGTCTCAGGTTTAAAAGTACGAGTCTCACACTCATACTGCCTGCCATTTGAGATCCCTCTGTCATGGAGACAGAGGGATTTCAAATGGCACAAAAACATTTTCATCCTCTGATTCTTTATTACACAAGTACTTCATACTCTTGAGGTTTTTCAGAATGTTTCAATGGTGAAGCTTCACTAAGTCTCTAGCTTATCAAAGCCAGAAAGGAAGTAGCCTCATAAAATGATATGAGTACCTTTAATTTCCTTCAAGCAAATCATCATCAATAGGTCCATTTGAGTGCAGAATTCCCAGAATTTCTTATTGTTCAGAATACAGACAAGACTGCCTCATATCTGTGGAGAAAGGCTGCCTGTGAATTCTAATATCTGTGAACAATAGTATATTATGTCCTTGTCCTGGAGAAACACCAACCACCACAGCTGTGATTTCAACAATCAAATTCACCCTTAGTTTTGTTTTCCCTTCTTTCTCAAAAGGCAAAGGTTATACATTGACTTGACCTAAATAATAAAAGTAAGTCATTTCAGAAGCTGTACAGAAACTTTTGAAGACATCTTTGTGCATAACAAAAAATTACTTCTCAGGCATTTATGAAAATATCTAGTTATGATCCAAATACCTCATCACCTCACACTTACCCTCATGTGCCTCAAAATTCCTGCATCCTGAAAGCTTGATTTAAAGGGAGAAGAATTCTTTTGGTGTGAAACAAACTATAAGGGGAAAAATTTTATTTTGAAATGCAAATTTGCATCATTTGGTGCATGACCAGAGATGTATCACTCCCACCCAGTTTCATCAACAAACAGGACTATATCTAGAAGTCTAATTTATTTTACCTAATTATCTCAACAGAACAGAGTTGAGCTCATGCATACTACACCAAGTAATCATCTTGCTCTATTTATTTCAAACAGCATCAATGCCAATTTTCTGGTGAAGTTAGACTTTCCTCATCAGAAAACAAATGTGCTTGATTTATGAACCTCAGGTTTTGAAGGTACAACAATTTCGCAAAGGGAAAAAAGGCATTGTCATAATGATGTTATGTTTATGGACTATGAAGTGCTTTCATAATGCTTAAATGTTATTAAATGTATCACAGGCAAAATGGCAATTATTACTGAATATAATCAAGACTGAAATTAATTTAATCCTTTGACAGGTACTGCTGTACATATATGTATTCAAAATCTTCTGTGCTATGGTAGTGGTGTATATATACATCAGTGGGTCATATACAGAAGCATGCTGCCATATTTTCAATACATTTTTCTCTACCTTCCAGTAATATATTAGGGACAGTATCCAATCAGCAGATATTTTTATCATATACTGTTCTCCTAACAAACATGGTGTCTGTCAAGAGAGGCACAATTGTGGCATCAGGCAAATTGCAGTGTTAGTGCTCAGTAGTGGATCTAGTGGCAGATGGAGTGATGAAAACAGAAGCAGCGATGACTAAATTTCTAGGATATCTGATGAAGATAGCAAATGCGAAGGTAGTGATTTGACTGAATGTACAAGTACACCTGCAGCAAAGAAGAGAAAAGTGAATCATCTGGTTTGGAAAGAGGAAGCATAACTAAACTTGTCTGCAAAGTCTACTCAGTAAACAATATGGAAATACAGTGGTTGGAGCCACATAAGTTGGGTAAATTGGGGGAATATGAACATTAATATGGTAATATGTAATATGGTCATATGGCCCTTAAATATATACAGTGAAACCTGTGTAATACAGCCACAATGGGGACTTTTTAAATTTGACTGGTTCTGACAGGTGGCCAGTATGAAAGGGAGTTTTTTCCAGTTTTTTCTCTAGGAAAACTTAGAGGTACTTGCCAGTCAGTTTTCCAAGAAAATTAAACACACTGTCTCCTCTAAAGGTACGGTAGTCTGATTTTGTAAATTTTATTTATTTCATGTACACAGAGAGAAATTTGCAGACCCTGATTTCATAGTCTGGAGGTCTTTAATGTTTGTTGACACGTGCATTTAGCGTAAGCACACTCGTTCTGGCAGAGACGCTTTGAGCACGTCAACTGACTCTTGCATCCATCCCCTTCTCTGCCAAATGGCACTTCAGCTTATCCGTGGCACTCAATGGCCTTAAAGAAAGGTGGTAAGATGCATGGAAGAACTAGGTCAACACTCTGATGATCGTTTTCACGCTATTAAGACTCCGAAGATGTGACTTTGACAACCAAGCAACAGGTCAATTCGGGGATTAGGGATGGGGAGTGGAAAGGGAAGTGAGAGGGAGGAAAGGTGGGAGACTAGAAGGCAGGGAAATGAAGAGGAAGAAAATCAACCTGCAATCTTCCTTCCTGTGTTCTGGCCGGATTAAAGAGTGGCCGGCACAGAGGGTCTGTAAATCCTTGGCCATTGGCCATGTTAGACAGGTGGCTGGATAAAACAGGTTATTTTAACAGTGTGCCTATATAACAATTGGGACAGAGCATTTCTGGCCGGAAATGGGAGGCGGTTGTAATATCAAAGTGGTCTAATCCACAGGTTTCACTGTACTAGCATTCAAAAGAAAAGTTCCAAGGTAATTTAGAGCTTGCTCTCGTAATAGGGAGTTGTGATAGTACAAGGGTCACTCAAAAAGTAATGCTCCATAATTTTTTTATGGTTTACCTTTAGATGGAATAGCTTCAAACTTTTAAGGTCAGTTGCCTAGTGTTTTCCGAAGGTCTGACCATTTTTTGACATAATCCCATAGTGATCAAGGCACTTTCTCCAGCGTTTCACGAAGGCTTACGTGCCATCCTGGTAAAATTCCTTGTCAACATTTCGAAGTCAATTTTTGATAGCCTCATCAACTTCATTATCAACGTTAGAGTATATGAAGGTATTATTTGCTGAAGGGTATTTTGACCAATTCCGATAATCTCATATTTCCCTGGTTGTGATGCGTCAGAGCTCAAATTGGTGCTTTTGCTGGTCACACATTCAAAATGGCAGCTGTGCTGAAATCACATCAGAAGCAGTGGGCAGTGACTGAATTTCTGAATGCAGAGGGTGTGAGGCAAGCAGATTTTCACAGATGACTCAAGCCAGGCTATGGAGAGTCCTGCGAGGACAAGAGCACTGTCAGGCAATGGGTGAATTGCTTTAAGTCAGGAGAAAATGAGGTCAAAGGCATGCAGTGTTTTGGTTGGCCATCCTGTGATTTCAAGCACAGATGAGGAACACTGCATTGGTTGATGAACTTCCAAAGTGACAGGCGCATCACAACCAGGTAGATGTGGCACTATTGGCATTGGTCAAATTCAGGAAACACTAAGCAACTCACCTTAAAAGCTTGGAGCTATTCCATCCAAAGGTAAACCAGACAAAAATTAAGGGGCATTACTTTTTGAGTGACCCTAGTAGTACATCTGCCCTTTGCTGAACAAGTCACCACTGGTTGAACATTATAAGCATATGTTCACTAACCTTGGAATGCTGTGCACATGCTATCTCAAGAAAATGCCAAATTATATTTTCTCCATGCCATATGTCAAGTTCAGATTTCCATGAACGAAAAATGGGCTGTGCATGTCTTACTGTCTCTGAAAAAATCAGAAATATGAAAAGGCTAATGCAGCACCAAAGGAAAGGGGCAATAAAAATGCTCAAAGAGAGTGTAATGCAACAAGCATTACACCATCTTGGACCTTCTTGGAACAAGTTGACAGAAAACTTGACCTTCAAAAATGTAGCGATTCTCAAAGTTAAGCATTCTGCCAGTTTTGATGAAGTGTCAGTTCCATCTGGTTTAGGCCATGTGATCTCATCCGAGATGCTGCACAACTTCCTCTTGCGTTGCACTCTCCTGGAGCATTTTCATTGCCCTGTCCCTTTGTTGTTGTTAGCCTTGGCATATTTCTGATGTCTTTCAGAGACAAGATGACATGCACAATGAAATCAGTCCATTTTTGTCCATGGAAATTCGAACTTTACATAAGGCATGGAGAAAACTTAACTAGACCTTTTCCTGATGTGACATGTGCAAAACGCCTAAAGGTTAGTGAATAAACATTAATATTGTTCAAGTGATGCTGGCTTGTTCAAGAAGACAGATATAATGCTATCATAACTCCTACAATGCAGGTGAGCTCTAAATTACATTATAACATTTCTTATGGATGCCTGTATATTTCACCAAACAGACTGAAGAATTGGTTTAGGTGAAATTTGAAAATAGGGCTATGGAAGAGTATATGTAATAGCCAAAATCATCTGCCCTGTTCATCAATGCAGTGTGTGCATATAAAAGGATACATCAATGTTTTGAAAGTGCAATTGCTCAAATTATAACAGGCAAGTATGAACCTTTAGTCATTTAAGTGCAATTTCCTAATATGCAGCATGGATACAGAAACCATTTCTTCAAAGCTACTCATGAGTCCCTCCAGAATGCTTGTGGAGAGTGTTAGCCCTTTCACTTGCAGAAGTGTTGTCAACTTTGTCATACAAGTGAACATGGGGAAACATGGCCACCTCTATTAGGGGTAATGGGGACACCACACTAACCTATTGAAAGTGCCATATTGATATTCTGTGTGACCCCAGGCAGCAAGGGATCATCCCATGCACATCTGCTGTGGACGTATAGAGATCCACAGGACATCCAAATGAAATATGTCAGTTATACTAAAACACTCAAGACTAATCCAAAATACCAGTAAATAAATCCCAAGAAGACCAAATAGATGCTGTATGTGTATCTGAACATTTAGTAAACGAGTAACCATGCATTTCTTGGACATAATTCATTCCTACTATGTTCTATAATAATGTTATTTATAATGCAGTAGTTGGATGTTCACCTCCTTAACTTGTCCATATCTGGTTAATTCTCCCTTTCCTTCAGGCTCTACATGTAACACACCACAGTTCCCTTATATGAAAATACTCCCACCATGGCAGACTCAGAGAGAAGCAGGCTTCCTCCCAAATTGCTCAAATGGCTTTGCAAATTAGATCTGAGAGGGCATCAGAAGAGAATGCATACCAGCACATGACTTTGAGGTTGATGTCTCTGTGAGACTGATCCTGGGGGTCAATCCTGGACATGACCCCATTGTAGCCGTCCACACACTCCTTGTATTCCGTCTTGGCCGAGTCCATGCAAGGTGCATGCTTCAGATACTCTGAAAAAAATATTCAAAACAAGCCGCCTTTGACAAACACGAAAAGAAAGTTCCTTCACTCACTGATATGATTGTCTACTCAAGTGCAAAACATGCTAAAAAATTGTTTACTAAGAATTGTCTGGAAATGATTGTGGATTCAGTCAAGATAATCAGTCTGCAAGGATAGATGACCAGCACTGAAAATATGAAAAAAAGTTCACTGAAAAAGTTCATGCTGAGACACTGAATGTCATACCAGTCTGAAATCGACCAGCGGTGCAGAGGTCCTTGATGACTGCAGTTGTGCCATTGTACATGGATGCAAAGTATGTCCTAACGTCTTCCGGGAGGCATCGCATGCTGTAGTCATCGATGCAACCCATCCCTTCCCGCAATGTCCTGAAGTGGAAAACACACAACTAGCCTTCAACTGATAGCACTTATTTCATGAATTACCTATGAAATCCTCATTTTACTTTTTAATGGCACATGAGCAACTCCTGAATGAAAATAAACAGGGGGTCCCAGAATTGACATAAGTTATCCACCTAGTCTATGGCTAAGAGGCATAGTCTCATAAGCCTAGAGGGGTTAGGCTAAGTAGCAGAGGCCTAGGTATGAATAGCCTCGTATGAAACCCTCTATGTTCAGTCACTTCTGGGGCACCCTGTATGTGCTCACATAAGATATGACCATTTTAAAGAAAGCGCGTGGTATTAACAAAAATTTACTAAGGACTCAGCCGCAATTTTCCCATATTTTTCTGAATAATTTATTTGCATATGGACTTGCAACGACTGCTGTGGTACCAACAGAAACAATAAGCCGAGACATGAACACTACATGTAAGGGTTGACAACTTATTTCATGTCCTTAATAGTTTCTTTTTATTAACTTCGGAACATAAATTGTTACCCTACCCTCTGAGTAGCTTTGTTCAGGCCTTGGTTATGACTGATGAGATCAAGCTTTAAATATTTTTTTTTTATAAAAAATAAAATGTTTTGACTGATTGCATAAAACACGAGTCTAGACCGAAACAAAACTAAAGAAGCCTAATCAAAAGCCTAAACTGTCAGCCTTATTGACAATTGACGAGTTTCAGGCGATGTAAATTTATATGGGGGGGGGGGGGCAGGGAGAGTGAAAGACTGGTTTTGTTCTCCCAACCACGAAAAATTATACAGATCTTTAAAGCATTCCTTCGCTCGCTTAGTAAACCCCCTCCCCCCTCGACTTCAACTAGACCAGACTGACGAGAGAGAGAGAGAGAGAGAGTGTGTGTGTGTGTGCGCGCGCGTGTGAGGGGGGGATTTTTAAGAAAAAAGTGTTCTTTGCCCTTCCTCCCACCCTCAAGAAACTTGGTGCACCTATGTTAATTAGTTTTGGGGATTATAAAGAATTCGAAAGGCGTCGTCAATATGACTTCTCGAAAATGTCTCCGTTGACTCTCCTCGTCTCCTCGCTCCTTGCCCTGCCGCGCTCATCCTCCATTGATAACGGTTGTTTATTTTATTCCGCGAGGCGTCTAGGCGAGGCGTCGACTTCCACTACCTGAAAGGAGGTTTTAAAAAATCTTGATTTTAGATAATAATAATTTTAAAAAACTTTATGGCGTTCTGTCACGTACAAACTCGGAAGGCAAGAAAGGTATTGCATGCCCTTGTAAAAGACAATGACGTTCTGAAATTCCGGCGAGTAAGAATCTATAATGGCCCATGGAAAGACCTTCGCAAGTCCTGCATTGCAATGAACAGCGACCACTAGGACTGAGTCATCCTGCGCTTATCTATAACCAGGATGCCTTATCGTCATACACATGCAAGACGGTGATGGAGGAAGTAATGACGTTCCAAATAGAGAATTTATCCAAGTCCTGGGAAAGAAAAAGAGCATTGTGTTACATTAAAGGAGATGAACGTACAGATGGGGGAAGAACACAATGGGTTCTGATTTTAAAATCCCAAAAAGGAGGGCAAGGGGTTACGACAAGAGACGGAGTTCACGTGCCCCCATGTCAAGACTCCTCGGCATGTCTCCAAGATTCCCTTGGTCGTGAACGCATTACCATGAGGTGTAACTGTAGCCGAGGGCGTGGTCTCTGTAGACATGCTCACAGGCCGTTATCGCGGTCGATAGTGGGGCCCCTTCAAAAGGGGACATGGCCCATGCAATCAGCGCCCATACATCGTAACACAGGGTGCCTCGAATATCGCACATCATTCGAGATCAGGCATCGGACGTACCTCAGAGGGTGGTCTGGATCAATTTCCGGAATCCCGCACACACCATACTTCCCTCAACCTACTTCATGCTTACTTCCACCGACAAAAGTAGAACGGATTCCCCTACGAATGAATGGATGATGTGCAGTGTTGCGCGACTTACGGATACCCCCGTACCATGCAAACCTGAGAAGAGGGGCTGCTTCTACCGCAGCTGACGGCTCCCATAATTTTATCTCCCTCGTTATATAATCATATTCAGTTAGAACCCTCCGGACGGAAGGAGGAAAAGTGGTCATGCATGTCTCCGACGAAACCAACAGAGAGAGAGAGAGAGAGAGAGAGAGAGAGATGAGAAAACCAGGTTTCCAGGACACGGCCTCCTCCATACTGTAGACAATCAATTCATCCTCTCGTCATTGATCTCTTTCGTTTCTCCGTCCTTCGCCCTTGAGGAAGCCAAAAAATATCCTCTCTTCCAATGCCGAAACCCGAAAATCCTCCCCCCCCNAATGATGAGTCAGCAAAGTCAGCTTGCATCATCCCCCTCATGGTGTTGTAGAGGTCCCTTTGTGTCAAAGTCTTGGGCATCCTTCCTGAAGGAATTGCTGGACCAACAATATGAAGAAAGAAAACCAACATGTAAATAGAAAGTGCAGCAAAACAATGCGCCACAGCCGTTCAAAAACCCGCCTCTTCCTCATGTTTTTCTTCTGCCCCTCCCCTTTCCGGATTGACTGGGGTAGATGAAGGTCTTCGAGGAGATTTTCATGGAAACGCGATGACACTGCAAGGAATGACGCATCGTTTTCTCCCGTCCTCCAGAGGTCGATCTTGCAATAACAAAGACGAACCGTGCCTATGCATCCGCATCGGCAACATCCGACATATTGGAGATGGTCTGTTGACATCCATGCAGTCACAGTGGGCAAGGAGCCAAGAAGCCACCAAACCACCCCCTCCAGCTATAATACAATCATCGCTGGGCTCGGTCCCACTTCTGGATTCACCTACTCTACTCCTCCAGTTGTACAAAGGACGAAGAAAGAAAATACATTCGAAATCCGTTGCGGAGAATTCCGATGTGAATATGAGAAAAATGGGAAGAAAAGGGAAGGTTTCGTCTGAGAACCAGAGCATGACCCATCGTTCCGTTCATCTCCCCCCTCCCCCCTTTTTTTTCTCATTCATGGGACAAGGTTGAATGACGCGCTGACTTCCGGCTCATGCATAACCGATCCCTGGGACCCGACAATTACTGCATGACCGCAAATGGGACCACTCACAGTCACTTCCCTGTTTCTGTAAGGGTCAGGGACCTCTTTCGGAACACGACATCACTGACAGTGCATGAATAACGGTTCCCATTTCATTCCTTCGTGTGTTAAACGTGACCTGGATGAGACCCTAAAAAGTCGAAATCCCGATGGAACCAGTCCAGGCGTTAGGGACAATCGTGTCTCCCTAAATAATGATCTACTTGGAAGACAAAAAAAAGTCGTAACCGTCGAAAAAGGAGGAGACGAACACATTGTTTTCCTGTTTCCTGTCCTCACAATGAATCTCATCGCATTGTCTTTCAGTCCTCGTTCCTCCTTTACACGGTCTCAATCTTTTTATCCTCCTCAGCTTCATCACAACGAGAAGTGGAACGGCATTGCAACATCGTCTGGGGTCCCATTCGCGTTGACAATATATTGCCAACGCCGATGGGCACATGCTGAACCTACCAAAAAAAGCTAACTATATCGGTAATGGTTTCGGCAATAAAAGCGAAACCATTAGGAAAAATAATTTAAAAAATCGTTTGGGATCATGTCCCTAAAACCATTGAAACACTACTTCGGAGCGTAAAAACTGCAAAATATACAAGCTACGAATTTCACTGAATCTTGAATCTGAATCAAACACATTGAATATTGTCGAAAATTTTGAATTACCTATTCAGAAATTATGTCCTCACTGGCAATGTTCCAAAATCATCTTTCCTTGGCTTCACAGGTATGATCCAACAAAACTCTCACTTTTCTTTGTAAAGATGGTTTTCCGCTCTCTAGTTTCTTATTTTTTTTTAACAAGTCCATGTTAACAAGCTTCACAGGTTCATACAAGTTTGGTATTCCAAAGGAAGCACTTTAATTATTGCAGAATAAGAACACAGTAAGCGAAGCCTCATACTGACACAGCAAGTGAAGCAATAAGTCTACTAACTTGGTCGTCAAAATCAATTCAGCAGTCTCAGCTATCTTTCTATCTTTGAATCTGTAAGCGTTCCTTTTGGTAGTTCTTGCACAATTGCAAAGCTCAATTCCCCCCAACCTCATTAATTGCCACCAAGGCATATCCCCTGATACCCAATTTGTCAGAATATGCTTATTACTTTCTCCGATACAGGCTGTCAGTTCCGAATGTTAAGTACTCTGTATTACTTCCAGTATTATATCATAATTTGAGGCCCCATAAGGCCACAGAGACTTCGATTTTATTAAAAGAAAGAGAAAACTTACCCGGCACGAAAGAAAACAAGACATTCCATACTCTAACCAAATTTAGCAAGATGCGGATAAAGAAGTCCTCAGATTCAGATACTCAGTCATTTGTCTTCTTTGTCATGTCCTTCAGTCATCGTCTGTCAAGTTCTTCGTAAACCAAAGGAATTCTGAATTAACTGAGAAAACTTTCTGAATAATTGATACTCATTGCTTCATCCGCTATTTATCTGGAATAAGCTCATGAAAACCATCTGCAAGCGATGACCAGTCCAAAGAATGAATTGCAATGCAAGAGGAGTTGAACGTGATCTTGATGATCAAGAAGGTCAGCGTTCGAGCGTTTTTTTTTTACCACTCCACTACCAGCAGGAGCTCTCATCCATTTTCAATGCCTAACTTCATTTCAATAATTGCCGATAGTATTGCTTCGTTCCAACATATTCAGATGAAAATGTGAAAATCAGTTGGAAACATACTCATATACGTGCAAGATAAGTTCCCGTAAATAGCTGTGTGAACGGAGATATTAATATATATAGTTAAAGTCATAGGTAATTGTATTGCCATACCTGTATTAGTTTGCTTGTTAGACTGTACTTTTTATTATCTTCTAGTGCTGCCTCGGTACTTGACAGAAAATGTGCATCTCTAAAGCTAGACCTGCCCAACAATACCGGATTTCACGAATCAAAGTATTTTCAGCTTAACGCTGATCCAAGTGTTATTTAAGTATATTTTATTATGGTCAGTATTATATTGGTACTAGAGAACCTAAGATGCTCTTCTACGCGAGAAAACTTCACAGTACCTCAGTTATCAAATGTGGCCCAGTAGTTTTCGCTCAATTAAACAAAAGATCCAGTCACATGAAGGGTCAACATGACAACTGCCAACTCAAGCATACTCTTCCAGATCTCAAGTGCTGGAAAAATTAACTCATGAAACTTCGAATACAAAAATTTATGAAAGTGTTTCCTTCAAAAGTGATTTTGATAAGCATTCAGCATATTAAATAGGAAATGCCAAACTGAAACCATCAAGTTTAGCATGCTGCATTCCATTCCTTCACCTACCAGGTCATTTCCCTTCGCCTCCTCAAAATGCAATTTGATAGATTGAACTGACAAACAAACAAACATAGATTTTATCCAGGTCTTTGGTGGGGGAACCCATTGAGACAGGAGTGCATGCTCGAGCGGGTGAAGTACGGGTGACACTGCAGGACCATTCCATCAGACGAAAATCTTATTTAGGTGTGATTCGAGACATGAGAAACTCTAAGGGTGAGGAGACAGAGAGACGCTCTCTTACGGGCAGATGTTTTCAAGGTCCTGGGAAGAAGATCCGAGTTCGAGAGCGGAATCGGTGTTGAGGTACTCCAGGCGAGAGGTGCAGTTGAGCAGGCTCTGCGGCTCGCACCCTGGCGCGATGGACATAGTCTTCCCTGACGCTCCTCCTGCATACACATCAACACGGGTTGCATACATAAACGTTATCAAGTCTAAATATCTTAAATTATTTTCTCATACATCCTTTGGTATTCACTCCCCAGCTGTTCTCTTCGGCCCAAGATAAGAGCTGGGATACGAATCAATTCTGACATCAGTGTCCATAAGTAATCTTTCTGCTACCCAGTCATGAAGCAGTTCTGACAACATTAGTCACCAACAGAAAACCTTGTCTGACCTGTCCCCAGAAAACCACCGTATTAAGATAAAGATGTTTTGAACCATTTGCACCTGAACTACTATATGAGAACTTAATAAATCGCAAGTTAAGAGCTAAAATATTACTCACTTTCTATTGTCTTGACTTAACGCTGGCGATGATTTTTCTGGGAAAGTCCAGCGCCCTTTTTTTCGGTCTTTCTCTTTCCCTTATTTTTGCCCGAAGCCTCAACTGGCAGTCTCCCAGATCTCTCCATTCCGCGTTCTAGGTCTCTAGCTCAAATTCCGGTGTTACCCCTCGCTGGGCAAACCAGTCATCTCCGATGCCGAGCTCTGAAGCCGGCAGACCATATTCGACCTGCCCTAGTCCCAACCTTAGATTTATCCCTTTCTTCACATACGAGGCTCCGAGTGTGAGTGTCTCACGGACCATTTCGCCCACTAGAGTGACCACACAAACTCAATTCCATCTAACTGTCGTACCAGACGCACGAAAGAACTCTTGTGGACTATTTGCGCTTCTTTGAACACAAGTGTTTTCATGGCTATGCGAATGGCTTGAATTTTCCTGTCCTTCCCACCGGGCAAGAGCCTGCATCTAGAAAAAGCGCAGATCATTCTTTTGTGGTATGAGACCACCTGGCCTTGACCACTGGTTAGTCGATAAGTAATCAATACAGTAGTATCTAAATGGAATGAACAACGGTAAAGTACACGAGCGGGCTGAGGGAGCCACTGTCTAACAGGTATCCCTCATGGATGACCAGCTGACAAGACAAGGCTGAAAAAGGACTCAATCGTTAATTGAACATTTATAAATGGGATAAATGCGCCGGAAACGGACGAGTCACATTGTCACGCCCACTTCATTCGTCACTGTCATGCCTTACTCATTCGCCTAAGTCACGAGGAACAGCTCATGACACGTCATTCACTGAACTGGAGAGCTCCATTCAATGAAGTAGAAAAAAAAAAACCTCGAAACTGTTAAATAAAACAATACAACTAAAGAAATTATGATTAACATTTTTTTTATCGTAAAACCAAAGACAGCTACTTCTAACCAGTTATAGAAACGTACTGGAGTCTCTCCATGTAATCCTAGGAGGAAAACTTCGCTCCGCTGAGGTAAATACTTCTGACTGTAGAATGTCCATGACCCAACCATCTCCCCCGGTATATCCGGCTTTCTAGCTTTGAAGTTGAAAATGGAAAATTCCATCATCCATTGCATATAAAGACTTTTCCACCCGTTATGCAATTTCCACAGACATTTCTAGCAGCAATCGCGCAGGAAGCTCGTCAAAGCAAAATAATTTCGAAGTAAACCTTGTGGAGGGCCTTCTGGGTATCCCATTTCCTAGATAACATTTCAGGTGTTCGGCGTGCAGGTAATCGCAGAGAGGAACAGTGTTTCCCCTTGGTGCGTTTACCATTTGGCAAATATGACTTTCTGTAACACATACAGTCAATCGGGGAGATGACATTTTGCGAGACGCAGGGTGCTCCTGGGGAAGATGGAATTCCAAAAAAAAGGACTGTGTGGAACTGTAATGCTGTTACGATCGTCGCTATCATGATAAAATAAAGAGCAGCAATATATTGTTGTTTCTTTTTCTTCCGTTGCTCTGATCAGTCTTGGTCATGTATAAGACCAATCTTCATCGCTCTAGAAATGATCGTAGGAGCTTAATAGTTTTTCAAAAATTCATGGATCTTTCGCAGCAATCAAGATATGATAGCAGCATTATCAGGGAGCATATTACGCGTTTCTCATCCTAATGAGAATACGAATAGTCCTCTCTGTCTTGCTTGAAAATTTGAAAATTATCGGATTTTAAATCAGCTGCACCTGTCAAATAATACCGGCTTTTAAAATGATTTTAATTTATTCGGACGCCGTGCAATCGGGCAGACCTTTCTGACAAAGGATACCAGGGCTACAATCATGAGCTTTCTCTTCTATATCTTTGTCTCCTTTTCCCGATCGCTCCGATTCGTTTCGAAAGAGAGAGGCGGCTTGCCTCTTGCTCATGCGGAAACGGGAGCAGATTCAGGAGAGCATGCCAAACTCCACTTTCACGTGTCTCCTACCGGCATCAATCGGAGGAGGAAAGCGGGGGAAACATGACAAACGCCTTAATTTTACCTCAGGAGGGGGAAAAGTCAGAAGGCTAAGGGGATAGGACCACGAAACCTGCCAATATTAAAGAATACCAGACAACATGGAGGAAGAAATAGTTGGAGGAAAAAATAGTCGGGAAAAGAAAATTAATGGAATTGTCTAGCATTCCCACTCTGCGGTTCAGTGGAAAGCGGGAAGGGGATAATTTTTCTCTCCCACACAAATCTAATATGACGTTCTTTCTCATCGGATTAAAATCGTTTCTTCGGCACATTCTTGCCACAAAATGCCACGAGAGGAAGTCGGTAATTTGAGAAAGAGGGATGAACGAAAGCGTGCGTCAAGAACGATTGGGAAGGGCCTGATAGCCAGCTGTCAAGTCCTGACATACTTTGGCCTAAACATGACCACTTGGCATGAAAGTCAATGAATTCTAACCTCTTGGGTGCTTTTCCAGGACGACACAATTGCGTACAAGACTATATTGTGGGAAAGGAAGTTACCTATAAAATAGGACGGCTAATGCTCTGGCATCACAGAAAATGTTTGTTTTTTTTCCAGTCCACGCCCTATTGGGTCGAATGAATAATTTTTAAAGATAAAAGTTAAGGCTTTCGCCCAGGCAACGGTGTATCATTTCTACGTTTCCTTCTATGATATTTTCGTTCAGTCGGTACATCTACATGGCCAAGTCGGGCCAGAGGGCAAAATGGACTTTCACGCTTATTTTACGAATGACCTAGAAAAGTTGGAAGAGTCGCCATCACATGGCCATGTCGGAATGAAATGACAGTCGGTGCCACGTGGCGGAAACGACCCAGTGAGACAACCTGACGTTGACCAGTTTTTTTTGTCCTCTCTGACATAGTGGAGTGGGACAGGAAGTCCGTACACACATTATGATAATGTACACTGACTTCGGATTGAATTCGTACTCCTCCTCATAGGAGCGCTTTCATTTCATCGAGTGCAAGTAGTGACACCTTCCACATAGGTGGATCATCTGATGTCGATCCACTATATGTTGCGTTGTCACTTCACACTAAAGGGGGGGAGAGGTACGAATTCAATTCAATCCGAAAAAAGTGTAGAGGCGACGGGACTCTCCAGTTCTAAGAATTTTCCCATGAAAAAGGATTCTCTTTTAAATATTGGCTGCACCACTAGGTCACTTGGAATTCAATACAAGTGGTTCGACTGCTTTCTTCCAATGTCTACTCATATCGAAAACTTGGTTTTCCACTCCAATGAATGAGTATTGAATCAATTTAAAAATCAAAATGTCCACAATTGCAAACACCGAGACTGTAAAGGATACGGCCAGGAATTCGATGAAAGGATAACGTCCCATATCCAGCAAGGATTCACCTCCCCTAAACATCCAAGTTCCTCTTCCACCAAAGAGCATTAGCTAACAGACAGAATCATTCCATAACATACTCCATTGACGATGCAATTCGTGTAGATCTCCCAGCTCTTCATAAAATCGAAGCTGCATATAGAGAGACTGATTACAAGAAGGCCTGAAGGCAAATGCCTCATCAGGACAAAAATCCTCATAAAACCGGAATGGGAAGTGGAAGCAGGATTTTCTTTTCCGCTTCGATTCTTGTATCCGGTCATTGAATCTGGAAGTATCCTCTCACCGCTCAACCGAAGTAGGGGTAGTAGGTTGAGAAGTGAACATACTCCTAAGCTTTCGTTTCTTCGACTTCTCGATGCCCTTCCAACGATAGGCCTACGTGGCTCTCGGGCTGTCAGGGTCACCTTCATTCCTTCGCATACTCATGTGGACGTGAAATCTGCGCATCCTTTTGTTCACGCTCATGACGGTATTTTAAATATCTATTGCACAAGGATATACCGACGAGGAATGCATCAATCGCTTTCTTAATCGTAAAAAAATAATAAACCAATAAATCAAAAAGCACATAGACGCAACTACAGAATGCCACTTGCAACGTAATTCCAAGCCTTCTACTCGTAGGATTGACGTGTCCTTCACGTGACTTCGTTCGTCGGATACACACCATAGCCCGTGAAAAAAAAAAGAAATGAATAAGAGGTACCTTAGGCTGACTGACCTGGGAGGAGGGTTGCAGCTGAGATCAAGAGCACGAGTCCCTGAAGAAATGATCGGAGCATTTTCATCTTCAATGTCACTTGCGAAATAATTAAAAAAAAAAGATCACAAGAGCAAGGAAAGGCAAGCTCGGTTATCAGCACTGCAGCGAGTTCTTAACGGTGTTTTCGGCACGAGAGGTATCTGTTAAGTTAGGTGATGGCTGACTTCTCCATCAGTGACAGGAAGACATTCCATAGAACAATGTCATGGAATCCATCTGTTGCCAATGCCTGCACACCAAAAGAGAGGGGTTAAATTTAGGAATCGTGTTTTGTAAGATAGGCCTACCGCGAAACGGGTCAGGCTAGGCAAAAACCTACACGTAAAGGGTGGCAGTCTTGGGTCATGCAGAGAAAAAACGCACGTACTGTATATGGCTAGATCTGGATTAACGTTAAGCCTAGCGGACCGTAACAAACACATACGCCTAGATAAACAAGCACAAGAAGGCCAAGAAGTGTCGACAGCGCAAGCGTTCAAACTTCTGAGACGATTTCCAGACAGGCATGAGGCCTGGAGTTAGCGTGGGGAAATCGAACGCAATGACGATGCCATACTGTCACGGACTGA